AGGATATGATCGATAGGGCACAAAGCCCTCTGTCAGCTAAGGTGGATTCAAATTTGTCCCCTTAGACAAACATTCATCCTAGGTCTACAAGGTACTCTTGGAAGAAGCAACCCATGGTTGCCGACAAGGATCCTTCTGTCAGGTTAGGTCGACTACCTCCCTGACTAAGTAGACCAGGGACCACGATGGCCCGGGACGACGGAACCATGGGATCTTGATCGGGCCCATCATCCATTCCCCCACCATTTGCTTTGAGTACACGATGGTGAAATTTCTATTTTAAATATCAAATATGCCCCAAATCCAAACTTTTTTCAAATTCCCGTGCCCATTGCTGCTACTATATGCCAGATAACACGTATACTCTACGTATCTGATTGATGACTAGCCTTAATCGAAAGTTCACTCTCGTTACCTGGAGGGGTAATTAACTATAGGGGCTTGCGCCTATAGGAAACCAGAACTCAGATCATAAAGACCTCGCAAAATGAGGGCGAAATCTCTGGGTAGTGTCTTATCTACAAACAAAATTTACCCCGGAACTTAATCCGTTAAAACTCCCTCGCCGAATAAATAAAAAAGAAAAGCGGAGCGGAGGCTGTGGCCGAATTTTCGGAGCCCACAAAATATCGTGCCATGCACCCTCAACCAACTAAAAAACCTAAGAGTTTGATTTGACAGGGTAGTCTCTTATGCCAAATCAACCAACTGAAAAACCTAAGAGTTTGATTTGACAAGGTAGTCTCTTATGCCAAATAATAACATAAAATGAAAGGAATAAAGGGATAATGATAGACGACATAGAGAGAAGCGGGAGAAATGAGACTTCAACATTTCATTAACCCAATTATTAAATAATCATACAACCTTAAGTCACCTTAAAAATAGAATAAGACTCTTAGTACTTACTAAACATACATTATACCACTAAGATAAAAAATAATGTGTCCGTTTTATATAATGAAATATGAGCAATAACTAAATGGACACATGAAAAAGGTTGGTTTGGAACATAATTCAACAAATGAGATTATTCAACTATAATGATCTAGCATCATCCCATCTTTGCTCTTCCTTGACCTCTCTTCAAGTTCCCCTACCTCATACTTCACCGAAACCTCTATCAATTCTATCTTTTCCTCAATTATCTTCCTTCCTTATCTCGTATAAGCATATAAACAAATCAAGAACCCTTGATCACCTACCCAAACTACATTGTCAGAGCATACAACACATACAGTGCAAAGAAAGGGTATATTGACGTAAGTCTGCACAAATGCATGATGAAATTACTCTCAACCAACCATATCCAACAAGAGAGGAAAAATCAAACATAAACATTAGGTATCCACCTCATTTTTTTTGTGAAAGGAGAATGATATTGCTATTTATATATCTCATCTCTAGGTTGAGCTAATTTAGTGTTACCCACAAGGTTGTTACCTAAAAGTTTGTTATATAGTATAACACAGTTATCATAACCCAGCATGAAAGCTAGACGGATAAAAGATCAAAGCTTATAATTACTTGAGATAAGTTCCTTTGAAGTTCTTCCATCTTTTGCTGAAGAGCAGCATTCATTTCCCTCTCCAGTAAATGCCTTTCTTCTTGTTGTGACAAAAGCAGTAAAGCAGCAACCTGACATCAAATAAATATGAAGCAAACCAACTATTTGGGTTCTTTGCATCCATCAAGGTTTCCATTCTAAGTCAAACATGAAACCCTCTAACAGAAAAAAACAACAGAAACAACCAAATAAAAGAAAAAAAAGGAAGGTGAATTCTGACTTTTTCTTGTAATGCCTGGGAAAGGGCATCCGATGCATCATGCATTCTGCTTGAAAGACCACTTGCGGACATATCTGTTCCCTGCATTAATACCAAGTCATAAACAGTAAGCTGATTATACACTCAAAGGATTACAAAATTGGATCCATCTCACTTCATTTAGGCAATCATTTGAACTATATAAAGTGCTAAAATTAGATGAAAGTAAGCAATTCAAATTTGGATTTCATGAATATCACTTCCAAATATATTTCTATTTAAATGCATAACTGTCAAATGGCCTTAGATGCAAACAAAATCTGAGAATGAGCACCCTCGTGAAAACAATAACTTAGAAAATATCAAGGTCTAGGCTTTTCCAGTACCAACAAGTGAAAAAAAAAGTAAATGAAATTGAAATGTTATAATGGAACTATGGATCTTTGAATAAAGATAAAAGAGACATGAAAACATTAGTATCACGCCGCAACCTATGCTCCATATGATGTAGAACTACATGCATAGGTAAATGTATTAACCTTGATTACACGCTTTGTGATGGAGCAATAGCAGTTATTCAGCTTCCTACGGATTAAACAAGAGATCGAAAATGATAAAGCAATGATTAGGCTTAGGCAATTGATTAAAAGATAAAATTTTGGAGCACAAAAATAATCGAAGTAAATCCAGCTTTGCTTAACGTGGGGTTTTCAAAGAAATCCCTTGATTAACAACAAGACTAGTCACTATTAAGATCCCTCACACATACTCATCATAACGGCTAAGCGGAGAAGCCTTCATAACTTTTAATCATACCACAATCGAGGAGAGGTTAGGAGGAAGAGTCAGAAGAGAGTTCACCTTCGTCAAGTTTCTAGTCTTGATGTGGAATTCCGTCAAGCTCCTGAACTTGTACTCCGATATTCTTCAGGATCAGGGCGATGTTCATCTGTGGTTTGCCTTGAGCAAACACTCCTTGTCACCGTTGAAGGGTTGCAATGCTCGAGGAGTTTGAATGTAGTTGTCAAGGGAGGATCTACTTTTTCATCCTTAGGTGAAATATTAAGCCTAAGAGAAGAAGTATACAAAGAAGGTGGTGGGGCTAAGTGGGCGGACCAAGCTATAGGGAAAAGGGGAAATTGATTTCAGATTTTGTGTGTTGATTGAGGGAGGGAGATCAATTCAAAATTCTGAAATTTATTTCTAGCTTTAAAGGGTGGAAGTTATTGGGAAATTTGAACTTGAATTTCCCAAAAATAAAGAAGAGAAGGGGGGCGGCTCAATTAGATGGGAAATTGATGGATTGATTGGGGAGCTTTAATAGACCTCATAATTAGATGAGAGAGAGATAGGAGGGGAGCGGACAAGAGAGGAAGACAAGGGGCCCACATGATTTAATGGAGATTTGAGGGAATTGATGGGCTTAAAGGAGTTGTCAATCTAAGCCAATTTAAATTAAGAAAGAGAATTTAATACAATTATTTCTCTAATTTAAATGGCCTTGATTGGAGAAACTTTCCTAAAATAACTCATCTTATTTAAAGAAGGAATTTCAAATTCAAATTTTAATTAATTGACCTTCCAAATTTACAATGAGATAATTTAGGAAAGTAGTAAATGCTTGAATGAATTTGGATCCAAGGGGAGGGTTGATGGAGCCGGCGGCATAGGGAAGGGAGGTGGGGCCGGCAGTTAGATGGGGGTCGGCCTAGGGTTTGGGGTGGAGTTCGGCAAAGGGAGGAAGGGGAAAGGTGGGGTTGGCCTAGGGTTTGGGTGGGGAATTTCGGCCAAGGAAAAAAAAAACGAAAGGAGGATGGGGCTGCGGCTAGGAAAAAGAAGGGGAAGAAGTTGGTGGAGGAGATGGACCATGAGCCCGGACGCTTCCTATGGCTGATGGGTAATACGTTGTCCTCACCTAGGGACTTAAACTCTCACAAGAACTCTCAAGCTCTCAAACACAAAGTGAAAAATTTTATTCTCATAATAATCATCCCCCTCCAAAGATAAAAAGGGGGCTATAAATAGCCAAAATACAATAACAATTCTAAAAGTGTCCCCTGGGATCACATGAACCTATTCCCTCAAGTGAGGCTAAAAATAAAAAAAACCATAAATACATCAAATACAAATAATAACTTAAAAATAAAGTTGTTCAATCATGGTCGCAAATCTTAGGCCTCTTCTTTGATAAACTTTCCACAGTCGGATGTCCTCATCACCATAACTCGCTCCCATAGTATTAAAGTATGACACATTAACTTAATTCCTCTATAATTCTCACAATCTTGTGCATAACCTTTATTCTTAAAAATAGGAATTAACACAGTCATTCTCCACTCATTTGGTATCTTTTTAGTCTTCAAAACAATATTAAAAAGTTTAGCAAGCCAAGAAATTCCTTCGTCTCCTAAGCATTTCCACACCTCTATTGGAACATCATAAGGTCCAATAGCTTTTCCGCACTTCATTTTTTTAAAGCCTCTCTAACTTCAGTTTTATTACTATGTCGATAAAAACATAAATCTTTATTTTTATTTAGGGTGCTAAGGTCACTAAATTCAATCGTATTTTAACAATCTTCATTAAAAAGTTTAGCAAAATATCTCATCCACTTTTGTTGAATATCATCTTCTAAGAAAAAGTTTTTTTTGATATTCATCCTTAATACACTTCACTTGAACTAAGTCCTTACTACTGTGATCTCTTTGTTTGGCTAACTTATACATATATATTTCTCCCTCCTTAGTATCTAATCTATTATATAAATCATTAAAAGCTAAGATCTTTACATCGAATATTGCTTTTTTAGATTCCTTACGTGCCTCTTTATATCTATCCCACTTATCAAAATTTTTACATCTAAATCAATTTTTATAACAAATCTTCTTATTTTTATCTTTTCTTGCACTTTTGGATTACACCACCAACTATTTTTACTATTAGGAGTTTTTTCCTTTGATACTCCAAGCGCATCTTTTATAATATTCTTAATATCACTAGTCAATTTTTTCCACATAATATTAGTATCCTCATGCACAGGCAAAATCTTAAGATCTAAAATTTTACACTCAAAAATATTTTTATTAATATTCTTTAAATGCCCCCATCAAATCTTAGAATATTATTTAACTTTATTTTTATATTTTCTGCTCATTTATCTTAAAGTCCAAAACTAATAATCGATGTTAGGTACATAAATTTTCACTCAGAATAACTTTACAATTTTTACAATATAAATGATCTAATTTTCTTATAAGAAAATAATTAATATGAATTTTACTATATCCATTTTTATAAGTGATAAGATGCTCATCTCTTTTTTAAATAAGATATTAGCAATTAAAAAATTATAAGTAAAAGAAATATCTAATATGGTCTTACCACCTTCTTTTGTCATTCCAAATCCATGGTCACCATGAATGTTTTTAAAATCATCTACCTCTCTACCAACATGTTTATTTAAATCTCCTCCAATAAAAACTCTTTCTTTAAGAGATATCTTTTGAATTAATTATTCTAAGTCATTCAAAAATTTTAATTTTGAACACATGTCCAAACCTACTCAAGAAGCATAAGCACTTATAATATTAGCAATATTAGCATCAACAACAATCTTTAAAGCTATAATTCTATCACCAATTCTATTAATTTTTATAACATTATCTTTCAAACTCTTATCTATAATCACACCTACATCATTTCTAGCACGACTCCTACCCGAATATCATAGTTTAAATCTTAAACTATCAATCTCCTTAGTCTTCTATCCAACCCATTTAGTTTCATGAATGCATAGAATATGTATCTTTATATTAATCAAAATATATATTAATTTCATTAATATTCCTATAAGGGAACCTATATTCCAAAAATTTGTATAATATACCTCGCATGGAGAAAATTTGTTGTAGTCTATTTTGACGACATTCTACTTTAATAGTTGTACTATTGAGGATCATTTATCTCACTTAAAACAATTCTTTAAAGTCCTTCGACATGAACAATTATATGCAAATCCTAGTAAATACAAATTCTTAGCTGATAAAATATAATTTCTAGGATATGTTTTTTCAAGTGTGGGGATATAAATGGACCATAAGAAGATGCAAGCAATTTTAGAGTGGACCATACCCCAATCCTCACGGTTGTGCGTAGTTTTCATGGTTTGATATCTTTACATCAACAACTTGTTAAGAATATTAGTTCTATGTCTACCCCTTTAACAAAAGTTCTTACAGGAGACAAATTTAATTAGGCATGCACTTACACTAATTCCAAAGAACTTAATCAGACTATCATGCATGCCCCTGTCATTACCCTTCCAAATTTCTCTATATTTTTAATATTGACTGTGATGTCTCTGCAATTATTAGGTCCTTTCACTGGATGTAGAGGAAGGTTCGGTTTTAGTCAAAAATAGGTAAAAAGTGCAAATACCGAGTTTTTCAAAAAACTCGGTATTTTTTCAAAAAACTCGGTATTTGCACTTTTTTAGGCAAAACCGAACCTTCCTCTAGGTCCTTGCACCGGACCAAATAAAAACTCCTAATATAGGTATTGGTACTGTATTGATTTATAAAGGACATCCCATTGCTTATTTTAGTGAAAAGTTGAATGAGGTCTGATGCTATCCAGACATCAATGACGAGTCTGCCCAGACCCAAGGAGCATAATAAAGGATTTATTTGAGTATTTTTTAGACCATTTTGTTAGTTAGGTTTCTTAAAATTTTCTTTTAATTTACTTGTTTTTATTTCCTGTTTTCTGTTTTTTTTTAAATAGTGATAGTTTGGTAATTGGTTGCTGCTTTGGCCTTATGCTTGCTTATAAATAGCCATTTTTCCTTTGGAAGAGGGATTTTTTTAGTAGAGTCATTTCAGTTTTCATAAACTTGGGAAGGAGTTCCTTCACATTAGGGTGGATTTCCCCATATCAAGGAGAGGATACGAGGAAGGAAATCATAGTGGGGGTCCAAAGATCTTGCCAAGAACGATTTCAGGCCGAAGAAATAAGTCGGCATGCCTTTCTGGTGGTTCCTCCACATAGATTCTGGCCATTGTTATCTGCATTCTTGTGGATTTGCGCACGGTCGCTTATCGTTTTTAACTATACGACAACCAGCCTATGATCCAATTGAGGAAGATCAACATATTTCTTGAATCAAGAATCAATTTCAATCTCAGGTTAACTTTTTTTTTTTTTATAACTTAATATGATTTAAAATTAGTTTTGGAATACTTAGGCTTACCTATTTGCATAACATTTGACATTGCAGGTAATTGGAACAATTCCAGACAAGATATATTAAGTCATCTCAATAGCTGATAGAAGATTAGTGCATTCACGGTGGGAACTTGGGAAAACAGGCTGGAACAACATGGTTTAAACTTTAAAAGCCTCTTTGCAATGAATTTCTTTGGGCAAGTTTCCTAAAATTCTTTATAGCAGGAATTGGTCTGGAAAAATCTGAAACTAATCAGAATTTACTAGGTGTACTAGAAAATAAGTTGAATTTTCTCGGGTAAGATTTCTTGTATTGTAAGTGTGGGTGTTAGTTCCGATAATTAAAAGTTGTAAACTCTTATTAGTCATGAATAAAATTTCAGTCTATTTAGTTGTCTTGCGTGCTTCCTTACTATAACGGTATCAGAACATCAACAACATGGTTCAAGAGAAGATTGAAGTTCAATCAGCTGTTGCATTGTATAATTGCAAGTATGCATCAGGCTGCTTCTTGATCAAAAGAAAGCTAAATTTAGAATATACCTTAGATGAAATGTCAGTGACAACATCATCGGTAATGTGAACATCCTTGCATTCGTTGTCATCAGACAGATGTTCTCCTTCTGCCTGAAAAGTTTCTTGCTTTGGCTCACTGTTCAAGTAAACTGGGAGTAATTTTTCATGTACTTCAAGAAGCACTGCCTCCAAATGGGATGCTTCTTCTTCCAATAATTTTACAGCATCCGCTCTGAGCTGATTATGAATGTGGCGCAGTGATGATAACCCACTCTCAAACATTTCAATCAACTGCATCTGCTGATTTGTCGCAAATCTATAAATAGTATTTAAAGAATATAAAGATAAGAAACAGCAACCTAAATCATTAAAAAAAAAACCGTACTTGTTTCTTCTCAAGAAATCCAGCACTTCTTCTTAAATGCTGTTCAATTTGGAGCCCCTATGAATTGAAATATAAACAGGAAAAAATTAGTAAGATGACAAACTAATTAACTCAGTATAAGAATCACCTTCAAATACCATCCGCAAATTGTTTTGCAGCTTTTCCATTGCTTTCTTACGTGACTCGATTTCTTCTTCTAATGAGGCCTGCATGAAAGTCTAAACAATGAGAAAAACATCATAAAGGCCTAATGTAATAAGTATATGTTGGTCAATATGAGACATGGAGACAAGATTGCTACTACAGAGGACAGCATTGAAGTTCAAACAATCAGTCAGAGAAACATAAAAAAGGCATAATGTGATAAGGGTATGTCAATGTTGGTTGCTTCAACATGGGATAGTGAGAAGATAACTACCAAACAAGATGCCTCAGTATGAGCGATTTATTTTATAATGCATCAACACTTCTTCTCAAAGAGACGTGCAGTGTCCGACACAACATGCGTTTGACACTCATTCGGCACGTGTCAGACATGCGGAAAACGTGTCCAATTAAAAAAAGAATTACATACAAATTGGACACGCGTGTCTTAAATATTTTATGATTATTTTTAAATATAATTTCTTATATTTAAAATTTGTATTTATTTAAAATATAAAAACTTTCTTACCCCATTCATCGAACATTTTCTCTTTTGCGTGTCGCAACTTTGGTTTCACAATAATGTCAAATGTCATCGCAACGTCGACGTCTAACATCGTTACAACATCGATATTTCAAAACCAACTCAACATCAAAGCTGACATTGCCTTGACATTGATGTTCGATGCTAGCAATTTCTATACCTAAAACTTGACAGTTCATCTTTGTCAGACGTCTTCTTAACATCGATGACCAACGTCCTCTCAACATCAATGACAAACATCCTCTTGACATTGATGTCTGACTCTAGACATCACTGTCGTATCCTCTCTCAATGCTTGATACATAGCAGCAACGCCCGACTCTCGACTTACTAATATTAATCATTTTAAGCACAAATTCTAGTTGAATAAATTATTATTTCAAAATTATTTTTAATATTATACTCATTCAAATTTTATACACTATTTTAAAATATAAAAATTATATTACCGTGTGCATACCGTGCTCGTGGCTTATATTTTCAATAATTGACGTGTCCCATATCCGTGTCCGTGCATCATAGGATTTATTTCTCTAATGACAACTCTCCAGCTACTTGTAGTGTCATTTTCCTAGAAGCCTTAAAGCTAATCATAGAAACAATTAAAAAGCTTGGAAAGCCAAATCCGATAACAGTGAAACTTACAAAATTAGTCCCTTAATTAAAAAAAAAAAAGAAGATACAATCATAGTTCATGATCAAAGTGTAGCAGAACATGAGAACCTAAAACAAAATGGCCTCCAATGCGCTTGCTACACTTGCAAATGTCCTTTTTAGTAGCTACTTAGAATATTGTTTTATGGATGATACATCCTTATAATTACGGCATCAGCAGATACAATAGTGGTAGTGATTTCTATTTCAGTAATTTTCAATAGGAAAAGTAATCAATGATTTAAGAGAAGATAACAAACTTTCAACCCCTGTTGGCAGTCAAAGGTAAACCTAGCATGGGTATAAATAAAAACACTTTATATATCCGTATTTATTTATATATGCATCTGTTCATGCGCATATAATATAGATAGCACACACCACTGAGAGTTTAGCTCAAAGAGTCAAATTCTTATTTAAATCTAATAAAAAAATCATTTCTAATATTTTCTATCAAATCTTTTTAGTCTTACAGTCAAATCAAATACATCTACCATCCTAACTAGGTCATGGGAAAGCCAACGTTTTATGTGACCAAACCATCTAAGGCGACTCTCTATAATCTTATCTTCCACTTGAGCTACTCCAACATTTTTACATATATCCTAGTTTTCTATCCTATTTCTAGAAATAAAGCCATTCATCAACCTGAGAATCCTCATCTCTGCAACACTTAACTTAATATCATGCTTCTTTGTTAATGGCCAATATTCTGCACCATAAAGCATTGTAGGTCTCACCACTATCTTATAGAATTTTCCTTAAGTTTGTGGGGGACTTTTCTATCACACAACAAGCCCAATGGATTCCTCCACTTCAACCATCCAATTTGAATTCTACAAATAATATCTCCATCTATTTCACCATCACTCTAAACAATAGACTCAAGATATCTAAAATGTGTACTCTTAACAAAGTCACAATCCGCCCAGTATATCTATTACTATTAAAATTACACTAGACATATTCGGCTTTAGATCTATTCAAACGAAACCTTTAGTGATGGGGACATCAGATTTCGACACGTGTATCATCGCCGGTGGCGCAGATCGACGGCTGCGATCCAGAGCCTCTATTTCTGATTTATTTACAGCTTATTTCATATGTATTTTAGTTTTCCTAGTTTGCCCCTGAGGGCATTGTTTTGCTTATGTAGCCCAGAGGGCATTTCTGTCTTTTCAGCTTTTATTTTTGGGCCTCCTTATATGAGGCATCATGTATTGGAATGATTTAGTTTTGATGAAATAAAATTTACTACTGTAATTAATGACACTTAGAGCTATTTTGAAATTTGAATTTGTTTCCCTCTCATATTAACCCAAATTGGGAAGTTACTTAAGTCCCAATTAAAACTGAAATTATAATTTCAGAATTTGATTAGGATTTAATTACTTAACCATGGGCCCCACCTAATGAAAATTAATTTCCCCTCTCCTCTCTACATGGCCGGCCAACCCCTTCCCTTTTCCCCTTTTAATTTTCTTTAGTATCTCTTTAACCCCTTCCCTCCTAATCCTAATTTCAATTTCAAATTCTGAATTAGAAGGGTGCCAATTCCGGAAATCTGAAATCAATTTTAGAATTCTAGCTTTTATCCCCCACAACTCTACCCGCCCCTACCCCCTCTCCTACCCGTGACTCCCCTCCCTCCACGGGCTCACGTTTTGCCCTCTCCTCTTTCCTCTTGGTCCTCATTCCCCTTTCCCACCATGCATGGCGGACCCCGAGCTTGAATGGGGACTTGTGATCGACGCTCACGGCAACCTCGACATCCATCGATCGTCGTTCTTCGAGGTGGGATTTGAGTCCGACGAAGATACTGTTGGAGCCTACTTGGATCGAATCCTACCGACGCTCATACACGTCATCGACAAACAACGCCCGGACTCCGAGTGGATCATTGACGGCCGCCCGGCGACAAGTCCTCTCAAGATCACTTGTCTATTAGTGGCGTCGCTAAGTCTACTTTCGATTCTCTTCCGCTAGCCACCACTTTTAAAACGAGTGACGGATCTCAAGGTGAACGATTTTTAAATTTGGGGCTTTGTTATCATTTGCTATTTTCATTATTTAAATTTTGGTGTTATTTTGTGAGGCTCCTCAACTCTCTACATTATTGTCATTGCTTAATCTATCTATGTCTTATTCTTAAACTCAACTTGAGTAAACAAAGAGTTTTGGTAGCAAGCTAAAAGTCATTGCTTCTATTAGTTTCTTAAGTGCAATTCGTGATTCACCGCATGTTGTTTCACATCATTTAGACTATAAGGTTGACCTCCATAATCCAAGTTTACCTTCAACTCCATCTATAGTTGTATCAACAAGAAGAATATCATCAACAAAAAGCATACACCAGGGTGCAACCTCTTGCAAATGTCTAGTGAGAACATCCATGACTAAAGCAGAAAGATATGGGCTTAAGGTTGATCTTTAATGTAATCCAACTGAAATAAGAAAATAATTGGTCAAAGACCTCAAACCACCTTGTGTTTGAACACAAGTAATAGCTCCTGCAGACATATCCTTAATTACTTGAATAGAATCATTATTAACCCCTTTCTTCTCTATAACTCTCCATAGGACTTCTACTGAAACATTATCATATGCTTTCTCTAAATCAACAAATATTATATGTAGATCTTCCTTATTCTCTCCATACTTCTCCATCAAACCTCTCTCAATAAATGCATAGCTTCCACAGTAGACATACCCGGCATAAATCCAAATTGATTTAGAGAAACATAAGTATCACATCGTAACCTATACTTCATAACTCTCTCCCAAGGTTTTAAGGTATGACACATTAACTTAATTCCTCTATAATTCGCACAATCTTGTGCATCACCTTTATTCTTAAAATTGGGAATTAACACACTCATTCTTCACTCATCTGACATCTTTTTAGTCTTCAAAATAATATTAAAAAGTTTAGTAAACCAAAAAATTTCTTCATATCCTAAGCATTTCCACACCTATAATGGAATATTATAAATCCAACAGCTTTTCATCTTTTCCACACTACATGTTTCTTTAAAGCTTATCTAACTTCGATTTTACTAATATGTCAATACAACCACAACAACAACAACATCAAGCCTTTATTCCACTACGTGGGGTCAGCTACATAAATCCTTTTCCTTCATTGTGTCCTATTAAAAGTCAAATTCTCGTTTTAAATCTAATAAAAAAAGGTCATTCCTAATATTTTCTAACGAAGACTTTTTAGGTCTGCCTCTACCTTTCTTAACATAAGTCAAATCTAATGCCTCTACTCTCCTAACCGGGTCATCGGAAGGCCGTTGTTTTATGTGACCAAACCATCAAAGGCGATTCTCTCTATTATTATCTTCTACTGGAGCTACTCCTACCTTTTCATGTATATGCTCATTTCGTATCATATCTCTAAGGGTGTAAAGCCACTCATCCACCTGAGCATCCTCATCTCTACCTCACTTAACTTAGTATTATGCTTCTCTTTTAATGGCCAACATTCAACACCATAAAGCATTGCAAGCCTCACCACCATCTTATAGAATTTTACTAATATGTCAATACAAACAAAAAAATGTATTTTCGTTTAGGGTGCTAAGATTACTAATGTCAATCATATTCTCACAATCTTCATTAAAAAGTTTAGTAAAATATCTCATTCACCTTTGTTGAATATCCTCTTCTAATAAAAGCACTTTTTCATTTTCATCCTTCATGCACGTCACTTGAATTAAACCCTTACTACTCTCAACTCTTAGTTTGGCTAACTTGTACATATATCTTTCGCTATCCTTAATATCTAATCAATTTTATTAATTAAAAGTTAAAATCTTTGCATTGCATATTGCATTCCTAGACTCCTTATGGGCTTCTTTATATCTTTTCCAATTATCAAAGTTTTTACATCTAAATCAATTTTTATAACAAAGCTTCTTATTTTTATCTCTTCTTGCACATTTTGATTCAACCACCAACTATTTTTACTATTAACATTTTTTTCCCTTTGATACTCCAAGCACATCCTTTACAACATTCTTAATATTAGTTACAACTTTTTCCCACATAACATTAACTTCCTCATGCATATACAAAATCTTAAGATTTAGAATCCTACTCTCAAAAATATTTTTGTTAATATTCTTTAAATGCTCACATCTAATTTTAGAACAATATTTCCATCTAAACACTGTTGTTTCCAAGTCACAAGTCCTGGATGAGAAAAGTGAAGGGTTGTGTTAGGTAGTCGACAGCCAGCATAAAACTTGTCGAAAGAAAGACAATGAAGAAACAAGAAAATATTCTTTTATTTTGCATTGATACAACTAGACTACATTGTTCTTATAGAAGTAAACATGGAATAAATACGCCAAATTAAAGAGAAGAAATAATATTGAATCCTCCATATTTATTACAGTAGGAATGAATAACAAAGATACCAAACAAGCCCAATACAACACACATAATCAGAAGAGAGATCCACTGATTTAATGCGGTTATTCTGCTTGCCATTTACATCTAACATAGGGCCATCCATCAGCTGGCTCATATTTGATGAATTGAGGTAATAAATTGAAAAACTGAAAAAAGTTTTAGAACAAAATCTACGGACAATTTTAACCATTTACTTCGTTAGGATCCATTATAAAAGCATTAAGGCGCCTTCATTCGGCACATGCATAAATTGAATTACCAAACTAATGATAAGGCAATGCCTAGCCTAGTATGAAATAAACATATGAGCTTTCTACCTAAATGTTGATATATGCCTTTATCTACAAGCATATTGGTGTTTTGATGACTTAACTTTTTATTTAAATCTACAGCAGTATCGATACATTTGCATTTCAAATACTCACACTATTTCAAAATTTGTAAGAGAAGAATGATTGTTTAAGCCACAATTTTATGACTAGATAATGAAATAAGTACAACAAGAACAGTTAATATAAATTGCCAAAGAAAAAAAGAAAAATACATAGCACAAAATAAAGATAGTACGAAGTATAAGCAACCATACAATAACAACAACATTAAGCCTTTATCCCACTACGTGAGGTCGGCTATATGAATCATTTTTTCTCCCTTGTGTCCTACTAAGAGTCAAATTCTCAAAAGTATAAGCAACCATCAGAGCTAAATAAAATTAAACGGTTAAACATCTAGCTCTAAGCTTGGTGAAAATAAGTGAGTGAAAATGATTTTATATCTAAACTGTTTTGCATGCAAGCATTTTAAGAATTTTACATGCATCACATCTCATGGGTTCCTAATAGTTCATCATGATAGGGAAAGGATTAAGGCACAACTAGCTCAAAAAGCAAATCCAAAAGATTATACAACTGCTAAGTAAAAAGCCCATCATGATACAGTAATATCTGACCACTACAATTGGAGCTTATATTGGCAGGAACCCTGTATAAGTAAAATCCAGTGAAAAAACAATTGGATAGGTAAATAAGCGGCCTCAGTTACAATTTCTATAGCAATAACTAGCACACTATTTGTTATCAAAATAGTGCATAAAGATAATACTTATCGAAACAAGTTATATCCATACACATCATACATGCAAATCCATACACGATGCATTAAGCACTTAAAACAAGTAAACTATTACAAATGCCTTGGCATTTCGCAATAAACAACTTGCAGAAAAATCTTAGCACAATATTTCACCACATTTGCTATTAGAGGTCCTCGTGCAGAAAATGGAAAGAAAGCAATAAGAAATAATTTAATTATCCAATATAATATTGAAATTACTAATACCAGTGAGTGAAAGGGCATGTAGGTTATGCAAGAAAAATAAAAGTATACGTAGATGGACAAATGCTGTAATTTTACGCAATATAAATCACCTAGATTTTAAGCTATTAAATGCGAGTAGATGCTACAGATATGGTGTATTTCAAACATGGTTTAACTGGGCAAGCCAATTAAAAAATTAAGTGCAGGGCAAGGCAATTAAAAAATTAATTGCAAGAAAAATGGTGATTAAACTCACGATGTAAGTCGACGTAGCTGATCTTCCATCACTGTTAAAAATCCACTTGTCCGAAGAATCATCAAGAAGGCATGAGCACCTGCTTTGCCATGTATGATCTGCAGAGGGTCCAACATCTTGCTGGCGAATCGCATAAAACTTATTAACTACCTACAAATGAAAAAATCTATTACTCCAAGCCACAAAGGTTGCAAGCTAGATCTAATCATTAGAGGGCGCGAGACATACATCACTTTACCTTATAGAACAAGGAAAAGCTAAATAATAGCAAGAAACAAAATACTCAAAAAAAAAAAACCCTAAATAAGGAAATTTTGACACCATCTTCATCTGTAAACATGGAGGCCAGTTAGGGGAGAAAGAAGCAACCATGATTATACAAGAACAGGAAAAAATCATCCAAACTTGCGTTTCATAGACAAGCTTGCATTCAGGGAATAAAATAAAAAGCATCTTGAAAACTAAGGCAATGTCAGGAAGCAAATGAAGTACTTAAAAAGTCAGCACTTAAATAAAAATGTCGGATACTGCATCTGCAACCAGTTTGCAAGCCTTTTTACCTCCATTATTCAAATATTCGTCAACTGTAAATGACCAGCACTATATCACCATATTTATTGCCATTTAAGCATGAGATTCATGTCTAACAAGTTAATCCCATTAATCATGGGAAATAGACGAGGGCGAAAATCTTAAAAAGAAATCTAATGTCTCCATCCATACCCCAGAGCAATTCAGCTTGAAGGAAACTACGATATTTTTGACCAAAAGAAAACCTTAAGGGCACCTGTGCTTGTTACAGTGCTACTTTGGAATGAGAAAGGAAAATTTTTTCATCTTTTACTTTTCGAAGGAAGCTGAGTCTGTCAAAAAACGACAGAAGGCTTCTTTGTGGAAGAGTATCTCAGTCAATTAGGAGTAGACAACTTTAGAGAACATATAAAAAAGGGGTAATAAAATCTTATTTATTTTTTAATTAGTCTTATTTATTTTTGAATTAGTCATATACTGATTATAATTTGAAAAAGACTAAAGTAAAACATAAGGGATATTGATGACTTTCCCGTTTGTATTAGTGCGAATGTAGCTTTGGAAGGATATGAATTAAAAATAAAAATAAAAAATCTTTGAAAGGATATGAGAAAGGGTGAGAAAATTAAGACTAGTTTGGATGAAAGAATGTAAAAATTTGTAAAATTTACCTCACGCTTCAAGTTTTCTCCACAGCCAACAAGTTCTCCAAGAAGGGAATCAGCCATCGCATGTTAAGATGATCATTCTTGCCCTCATAGGGACTCTCAAGCAAGCCCAAGAGAAAAATAGATGAAGAAGTTATAAGAAATTCCAAAAGGATTTCAATGATTCAATTCAAGGTACAAAATCCATTATTCATTAGCAAGAAGCAGAAAAAATAATGTATGTGCTAATGATAATCAGTATATCATTTCAAAATTAATTGTAATTAATTTCTCTAGCTATAGGTAATCTTTCCTATTTTAATGAATTCAAAATAATTCTAAAATAGGATCCCATTCTTAGGAATTTTCTCTCTTTCGTGAACTTTTCAATGGAGTTCTCGAAAACTCATAAGTTTTGTCTTATAAAACCTAGAGCCCTAATGAAGTTAGTTTACCATTACACAAATCTTAGGATTTCTTTGATTCAAGTTAAACAAATTCAACTTGAATCCGCTTCTATCAAGGCTTTTTTGGTTTGGCATCTTCTTGGACCTACATAGAGGATTTCAAAAAAACCTCTAAACTGTTCAACAGGACGACAACAATCCACAGGACTAAAATCTAAATTCTTTTGGCCAGATCGAGTCAAAAATTGATCTATAGCTTTAACCCAAATCCTATTTTTTCTTACCCGATTGACTTAATCAATCAAATAACACATCAACCTTTCAACCCATTTAGAAATCTCTCTCCCTTGAACAAATCTTGCAATGATCAGAGATTTGTATGGATCAAACCCAACCCATCTCTATATAGATTTTCCTTGTTTGGTGTTTCTTATAACCTCATATAAAAGCTTCATGCAGCCTTCTAATGAGTCCAAGCATTTGAGTACTTAGAATCAAATCCTAAGCTTATAGGATTCCTCTGCTTGCCCAAAAGCAGAAAAATGTTCCCATTATATCAATGATTCACACCCTAGCTTCCCCTACATGATTAACTCAAATTAATCAAGTACTATATCATTTTCTTGAATTTATCTGAAGCCCTCTTTTGCCTTTAAACAAATTTTAAAGTTATATGAGTTCGGGAAGAAAAATCCAAATCTGACTTCTCTAAAAATGATTCATCTTGCTTGACATTTTTCATAGAACACTTTAAAGATCTCCTAAGATCTTTTAAAGAGTTTCAAAGAAGATTAACATTTTTTAAAACCCTTTTAGGAGCCAAGCAATCATAGACAAGCCTTAAGTTTGCTTTGTTTTGGATTGAACCAAGTTCCCGTTCAAATTCTTCTACTTAAGAAACTTTCTAAGTCCCCCATAGAGATTTCCAAATGACCTCTAAGAGATTATTAATTAGTGTTTATTCTAGAGCCAAAATCTAGAATTCTCCTCAATTTGTTTAACCTCAAAGTTAACAAATGATCTCAACACTTTAGCATAGGATCTCAATTCTAGCATCTTATATTTTCTTAATCAAATTAAGTAAATGGAACCTTCATCCTTATACTCCCAAGTTCTAGGATCCTTCTTTGATTTATAGTCCTAAAACTATCAATCAAATTCAACAACTTCAATCATATTTGCTAAGCCATATTAAGCATATACTCCAATTTCTATAGACCCAAAAATCTCATAGAATAGTCTATAACCCTTAGCCCAAAAGTTATAGGTTAAATTTCATTCTCTCTTAATCTAAAAAAGCAATAAGAGATTCCATAACTCGTTAGCCTTCAAGTTAGATACTAAAAATCCTAATTTTGATTTGAAACCAATTCCAGTAATAATTCAATCATCATATGCAACACAAAATCACATAACAGCCTTTACTCCTTAGCCCCAAAGTGCCATGCTTCTTCAGCTACAAAAGCTATTGAAACATCCGTATTCATTTTCTTTCATCTTAAAATCAAGTGGATGAATATATCACCTAGCCAAGAATACAATCCTAGAAGTCCCTCGTATTTCTTTTCCTTGGCCCTAATCCCATTGGCTCACTTGTGTAATCCAATCAAGTAATTTACTTTTTTCCTTCTTGGCCTCAAAGTCAAGAATCACTTATTTGATCAAATCAAATAAGTGATTTACCCATCTAGATCAAATGTTTCAAGCCTCTTTTAAGAGCATTTATTCTGAAATTTGTCATACCCAATTAAGTGAATTTCATTGAGTCCTACGTAGACAACAAACACAAGAGTTTATATGGAAACTTTGCACAGAAGTGACAAATGTAATAGGATTTGGCAAAAATAGTGCCTATCTTCGGCAATTTTTATCTTCCTTCAGCTAGCTTAAGATGCTTTTCAAGGATACCATGAAAAAACAAAATACCATGTTATGCTCTCGAGTCTTGACAGACAGCAAACAGGAAAAACTAATTCAAGGTAGACATGGTTATAGATATTGCTGTAAAAAAATTCCTGATTACACATTTTTTTTAAAGAATAACCACAGTAAGGGAAAGAAAGGACTTTGGAAGAGAATTTAACAATCTGCAACATGAAGTACATTGAAATGTGCAACAAAAACTTCAATTATATTTAAATATTACAAAGCGATGAGATCTCATACCTTCTCAAAAGATTCAACTTTCTCTTTTATTTCACCCAGCTCATTCTCTAAGGCAACATGCCGTTCCTTTTCACTGTGGTATGCTGATTCAAGCTCCTCTAATCTGCCAGTGTAAATATTTTGAAACCTATCAGAGGTTTAACATTCTCTTCATGCATGCATTGTTACATTTGTTCTATTAGATCAACAACAAAAACCAACATCATTGTGACTGATAGAATTAAAAGTTGATATAGGCTAGTTTATAATTGTTGTTTACCGTTAAGCTCATTGTTCCCTTCCTACATACTCTTTGCTCTGTTTTTTTTATATTTCTTCTATCAGTCAATAGCAAAAAATCAACTACTACTTTGAATTTAAACTTTATATATGAAAGTTCGTAATGATTGTTTACTACTAGCAAGATAAATGAGGGTTTGAAATTATAGTTTAGCTTACAGATTGATAGATATCAACGGCAGAACGTAATCGTGAATGTTTTGAATTTAAGGTTCATATGAGGGTTTATGACGGTTGTTCGCAGCTAATTTGATGGAGACAATCAAGGCCATACATGGGATTATAATCATGTGATATCTGAAAATTTTTACCATGCTCAGGTATATTTGAGAGATTCCAAGTCGATTTTTCGGATGAAAAAATAAACATTAATTAAAACACAAGCCAAATATTTCTCCATTTTGCAAGAACTTGACGATATGGTTTGAGTTTTTCCCATAGTACAAGCCTTAGGTTAATTACCTCTCTCAAACATGAGAGAACTTTTAAATAAAGGCAAGTCAGTAGTCTCTATAATGATGCTTTACTTTGATATCAACAATTTGGAATAGGCAAAGAAAAATATACCACCATTGGCTTATAGACAAGGAACTTTTATTCTATCCAGTGAACATACGCAGAGGAAGGTTCGGTTTTAGGCACAAAAGTGCATGTACCGAGTTTTTCGCGCCTGTACCGAGTTTTTTGAAAAAACTCGGTACAGACGCTTTTTTGCCTAAAACCGAACCTTACTCTGCGTACGCTCACTGGATAGAATAAAAGTTCATAGACAAGGTGGTGGCGAGATAAAAATAAACCCATCAAGATTGTATGATTTCATCATCTCGGGTAATCAAGGACCATCTTTAGTCAATAAAGGTAATTAACTCAACCTGACTAGAGAATCCATCTTAGCAATAACAAGTTGTATTACCCAAAGAAACCTTATAGACAGAGTAAAACATATCTGACCAAACGAAATAGACAGCTTTATGCCTAATTGAGTGTGTATTAATGCTCACAACTCAGTATTAGGTCATAATAATAATATATAGCATCATTGCAATAAGGTTATTCACCCAGTTAGAAGGCATATGTCACATCTTATTAATGTAATATTTTTTAATGTGTTCATATAAATATAAACAATATGTCAATGGCACTTTGCAAGAATTGGACAAATTTGAATTTGTCATCTTTGGCAAACTAATACAGAGGATGAATGTATAGTTGCTCTAAGCATGAAGCAACAAGCCACTGCTAGAGCTTTTTGGTTTTTTTCCTATATATGTTTGGATTCGAAAAAGTTCCATCTAATAATGATCGTGCTTTCATTATGCCCATCATCAAGAAAAGCAAGGTTCAAAATTGCATGATTGGATAATGAGGTGTTTTTTCCGCAAGGTGAGGCACAAGCCTTGAGGCATTTTGAGGTGTAAGCCTCAAAACTAAATCACTAAAATAATGAAAATATGATAATTGAATAACATACTTAAATCAAAGTAAGATGCTAAAACAAAATTATAAAGAGTCAAATGCCATGGAAAATCATATAAGGCTATGAACAACATTAAATGAATAATTCACCCAATTCAACATAAACAAGGAATCTAAGGAAATAATTTATGAATTCAAAAAGTCTCCACCTTCTCATCACTTAGAGGGTCCCCATTTGAATTATCAATATAGTTTATCACTCTCTCTGTTGGCTCAAAAAAACGGCACGTCGCATGAACCCCGCTTTGCATGAAATAAATAAATTGCCTCCTATCTTTCATGATGATATATAAATTGAATCATGCCTTTCAGGAGGGGGGATGGAATTTGTTTCCTCCTTACAAGAAAATATAAATATTGACTTTTGTCTTTCGAGAGGGGAATAAGATTCGTCTCTTGCCTTGCAAGACAAGTTTCATACATAAGTAGCTATGTGTGATATTTCTTAAGATATTAACCATTTATTGGTGGCATGGGCATTTGACCTTTTAGGTCTATAAGTTGATAGGCTCCTCTTTCATATACTATTTCAATAATGCAGGGTCCTTCCCAGATTGAGTAAAATTTACCTCCAAGACAACGGTGAGGGACTAAAGGTCTTCGAGGAACCAGAACAAGTTCACTTCCTTGAAGATTCTAGTACGAACCATTCGATCAAGAGCCATAGCCATTCTTGCTTTGTAGGATTCTAGACATTGTTGAGCTTGAAATCGAACTTCATCAAGAGCTTCAAGTTCTTCAAGTTGTAGAAGATCAATTTCTTCTTTAATTAATTCGTATTGAACAGCAATACGAAGAAATGACAACTCAACCATAAGATGTAATATCACCTCAATTCTGAAAACGATAAGAATATGGGGTGGCTTGTGTTGTTGTTTTATAAGTAATATGATATGCCCACAAAGCTTCTGTCAATTTACCGTGCCATTCTCTTTTATTTTAGAGAGAATTTTCTTAAGAAATTTACTATGATTTTGTTTAAAATTTTAGCTAAATCATTGGCTCTTGGATTATATATTGAAGAATAGTGCCAATCTATATTATGTCGTTTGACAAATCGATAGATTTTAGCACTCTTAAAAGTCGTACCATTGCCAGATATGACTCAGTGGTACTCCAAATTGATAGACAATATTATCTCAAAAAAATGTCATCACATTGTCTGCTTTAACTACTCTCAATGGAATTGCTTCAGCCTATTTTGAGAAGTAGTCAGTGGCAGCAAAGATGAATTGATATCCTAAAGAAAAGGGTGGTTCTATAGGACCTATTATATCGGTAACCTAATTTTCAAATGGCCAAAATGCTACTGTATGATGTAGCGTGTTAGGCGGCCGATGCATGATATCTTCATGCACTTGACATTGATGACATTTATTAGCATAGTCGATATAATCTTAGACCATGCTTGGCCAATAATATCCCAAATGTTTGATTTTGATTTTCATTTTTGGACAAGATTGATGTGCACCATACAGTCCTTTGTGAATTCACTTATGACTCTTTGGAATTCATCATGACCCAGGCATCGTAGTCACATTTGATCAAATAATCTACGATATAATGTATCATTCATGAAAGCATATCTTAATTCTCTTAGAGATATTTGTGAAGCCATAGATTTATTTTTAATGCATTCCTATTTTAAATAGTTATGAGAATTAGATCCTCCTAAAGATTTGTCAATTATTTAGCTAGCTTTGTCAGTGCATCGGTTTTGTCATTTTCACTACATATAATTCTAATGAGAATTACTTCATGAATTTATTGTAGGAGTTCCAAAGCATACTCATGATATGAGAATAATTCAGGCTTATTGATTTTGAAAACACATGTTATTTGTTTGATTATGAGTTGAGAATCTCTATATATATGGTGTTTTTGTATTTTCATGTTAATTGCAAGCTCAAGACCCACTATTAAGGCTTCATATTCAGCCTCATTGTTACTGCGAGGTTCTGTTAAGCTGCAGGAATATCGGAGTATATTTTTTTGAGGTGTAATGAATATAAGGCCACTGTCTATCTTAATTGTCGGAAGTTTAGGTGGCATGGCTAGTTTTATTGATGAATCTCCACCGAAATAGAGCTCTCATTCTTGCATATTTTCTCTTTCTTCCACTTCAAGTATGCGTTCATCTGACAACTCATCATTAAGTGGAGAATTTGCAGGTAAAGGATGGATTGCTAGAAAACCAGCTAGGGTATGTCCTTTCACCGCTTTTTGTGGCATATATGTTATGTCAAATTACATTAGCAAGACGACCCACCTAGCTAGATGACCAATGAGAGTGCGTCTAGTCATTAAAAATTTTAATGAATCTACTTTAGATATTAAAGTGATTTTCTGGGATAACATATAATGTCGAAGTTTTTAAGCGGCAAAGATTAATGCTAAGCACTGCTTTTTGATTGCGAATATTTCGATTCTGCCTCTATTAATCACCGGCTGATATAATAAAAGGCATTTGTTTGCCATCTTCATTAGTCTGTGCTAGCAAAATACTCTGAGAGATTCCTTGACAGCTATTATATATAGAATTAAGGTTTACCTAGAATAGGAGCACCAAGTATTGGAGGACATATTTTAAGCTATCAAATGTCTCTTAACAAGCATCATCTCATATGAAGGGTATATTTTTCTTCATTAATCGAGTGAATGGTTGACATCTACATGAAAGGTTAGATATAAATCTTGGAATATACGTTAATCTACCTTGGATTGAGCGAAGAAGTTGTTTAAACTTTTTGGGGGTGGCATTTTCACTATCGCTTTAATTTTAGCAGGGAATTTAGATTCCCTATGGCGTACAATAAATTCAAAAAAAAAATGGATGCAACACTGAAAGCATACTTTCATGGATTTATTTTAAAGTTGAATTGTTGAATTCTTTCTAATATAATCCTAAGATCATTTAAATGCTCATGTTGAATTTTACTTTTTACAACCAAGTCACTAACATAACATTGAACATGCTTATGAATCAGATCATAGAAGATTTGAGTCATTGCTCTTTGGTAGGTGGCCCAGCATTTTTCAAGACAAATGGAATCACCATGTAGCAATATAAGTCGATGGGAGTTCAAAATGAGATATGTTTTTCATCTTTTAGATCCATTTTGATTTGATTATAGTCTGATGATCCATCCATGAGTGATAACATGTCATGGTTCGATATATTATCAACCATAAGTTCTACATTAGGCAATGGGTAATCTTTTTTTTTTTTGCATGCTTTGTTCAAATCCAAGCAATTTATGCAAATACGGATTTGATCGTTCTTTTTTCTTTATTAGAACGATATTGACAATCCAATCAGCATACTTCTATTCTCAAATAAAATCAACT